ATTTGGAACGTCCTCTTTCGGGAAAAAAAAAAAACGTCGGCTGTCTCTGCGCTGTCCAACAGAGCCTTCGCCTTTGTTCCTATTGTTTTCCCAACATTAAAATACAACTCCTGTCATCCAAGACAGTTTCCATGCAAGGTGTAAATTGCGTATTTTTATTTTTTATATATTATAGCATCACCCATATTGTTCATTCAGGCTGTTATTATATTGGCGTTTAAGGGAGTGGGGATGCAGCATCTCAGAAAGAAAGAAAAAAAGCACCCGTGGCTAGATGACAAGGCTGATTAAGCCATTAAAGTCCTTGATATGTATTTAGCATAATCTGGCTTGTCTGCAAATAAGGAGGCAGGGAGCTGGTTGCGAATGTTTTTATCAAAAGCTGCTAGTTAGCTCAATCAAAGCAGCTGCTGGGAAGCATCAGCTTTAATTCAGCATTATGAGGAATAGAGACGCTCTCTCTCCCTCCTCTTGTTCAGTCTTTTTCTCTCTCTCAGGGGTGGAGAGATTCATTTCTGTCATGTGAAGAGATGAGGGGTGATCTGCCATGGCCCATGTTCCTCCCAGCCTCAGGTCCTTTCATGTTCTCAGCTTAATTTGAGCTGAACCAATGTTTATCATTCTGCAGCAACTGGGCCGAGTGGCTGGGAGGGAGGACAGCACTGCTCCATGCCTGATCTATTTTTTTTATTTTTATTTTTTTTCCTCCCCTCTCTTCGCTAAGATTGTTGTTTTGCTTGTAGACTGCAATACTCTTTTCCCCCCTGGGTTAGATTAGAGCCGCTCTAATCTAGTCAGATAATGTTTTAATCAACATCTGCATTTTATTTCGTGTTGTGTAACATAATGACACTTTATGGTGCCATAATTAGGGGTATAAATTATCCGTATTAGCTGCCTAACAAAACAGTTCGGCAGACGATTGTTCCGTCTAGTGTTGATTATATTTGCTTATAACTAATTTGTAAGCGAATTTACTTTGTGTAAACTTTAGACTGGCGCTCGCTCGGAGTTGCCGCGGCGGAGGATAAACAGCGTGATCTCATTTTGATTGACTGACTGTGACTCTAAACATGCAGCCAGCTGTTGGGCCGCCCTTACTGTCTTTAAATGAGTAAAAACGATGAAGCTGGTTTCATATCCATGCTGCTGTGCGGTTTTAAGCATGTGAGCACAAAGACCGTTAATCAAACCTTTTTTTTTTTCCAAGCGTGCAAAACTATCACCATCATCCTCCATAGAAATCTCATATTAAACCCCTTAATCTGATTTTTTTTCCCCTCATTTTTATATCAGATGCAGTATTTACTGATCTAAATCAAGCACAATGCTACTAATTTTAGACTTATAATCTATACACGTGTTTTATTGGGATCTGGCACAGCTGCGTGGTTAAAAGGCAACATTAAACACTGATGAACGAGTTGTCCGGTTTATTTTAGGAGACACAATAAAGACGGCGGTCTCCAGCTTTGGTAAAATTATAAGTGGCGAAGGACATCCTGACCTTTATAAACCACACATTAACGCCGCGGGAGTGTGCAGTTGATCATACCGTAAAAGTGCTCCTTCCCTTAACTAAACTCCACGTCTCGTTTCGCCGGTGACGTGGAGGCAAATTGCATTTTCTGTTCCATCCTTTGCCCCCCTCTCTCTCCCTCTCGTCCTCCTTCCCTCCCTCTTCTCTCACTCAGCTGCACACTCCTCGTCTCTCCAAAAAGCAAGCGGGCTGTCGTCTCTCCCTTCTGTCTGCCCCATCTGTGATGCAGTATGGGCCACTGGCTTGATAATGATAGGCAGGCGGAGCGCGGGGCTGCGCACGAGGCAGCGATGGAACAAACCGACCCGCTAAAATGGAAGACAAAATTCTATAATCAGTTGCCTCACCAAGTCGACAAGAGGTCTTGCCCTGTAGCGGCTCTCGCTCTCTGCCCCCCGTGCGTGCAAATGTGCGACACGCTGCGCCGTGCGCTGCAGAGATGAGAGGTGGTAAAGAGGCGGAGGACAGCGTCTCGATAGCGCAGCAGATGTAAACCCTCGGAAAGCCATCGGACCAGAATTGGTACCATGTGTTTTTCTTTCCTCGTCGCCCCGCCTTCCTCCCTCCGCTTGTGCTAGAGTGAGAAAAGGCCCAGAGGCTCGTTAAAACTTTAATATACTGTACAATCACAGTAATTGAGTAGAATTTTCAAGTTCTTCCAGTCATGGTTTTAATTTATGAAGTCCCCATGAAAGTTTAATGGATCAGCAGTTGTAGAGTCGCAGCTATCTAAATCATTCTGCAGCTATCTCTGCCTGCACTGCCTGCCAAGTCCCGCCGTTAGCGTCCTGTGCCCTAGAAAGATGGCCAGATTGCTCCAAAGGCATGACTGTTGCTGGACGTCTGTTCAACACATTGTACCTAGAGGTCTTTCACAGAGCCGTACAACCGACGATGAGCTAGCAAGCCGAGTATTGGCATCGATTTTGATGCTCTTCACCAAATATCCAGTGTGTAAGTTTGGAGTTTTCATTTATTGTATTATTCATGCTAGCAAATACAGGATCCCCGTTGCTTGATGAGTGTCGTATAGCATGCTCACTTAATTATGGAGCAGCGGGAGAGGCATGTCAGAGAATGTAGACAAGATGAATTTGGTGCCGCTTCTCCTCTCGCTTATGAATTGTGGGAAATGCATCAATTTGCGTGGTGGGAGATATGATATGCCATATCCTTGTTTCGATTTTAGCAACACTGGCCCGGCCGTACTTGAGATGTTTATTATTGTTATTAATATTTTGTCAGGAAGCGGGGATCTGAGTGACACACGGCCCTGGAAGGGGCTTATTAAAAGAAGTTATTGTCTGCGATCGCCGTGGAGAGATACAACACAGTGATTAATGGTGTGTTTTACAGTTGACAAAAAAGCGCAGGGAGGCTCAGACCTGGGAGGACAGCACTGAGAAATCACTGCAAGGAAATTGCTAGGTATGCTTTACCTCTAATGAAAGAAAACATCCTTCAGATGTGCATCATCCTGGACTGCACGTAGCCGTGGGGGGAAAATGAAACTGTTCTGATTTCTTTGTTTGACCTACTTAATGTTCTCCAACTCAGATGTTCCATAATTAAAAAATCTGTTTATTGTTTTTTTTTTGTGTGTTATATCATGATTGCATCACTTAAGCTCTGAGGTAGGAAAAAAAATGGTTATAGCATTTTCTCTATGTGATTTGACAGGTAGTGGGACAACATAAGAAACACAGTCCTATAGCAGCCTCCTGTCAGGCCTTAACGGTAATAAATTTAGCCCATCTCAGTCACGCTGTCTCAGTGTCTTAGCTTCAGGAGCTTCCAGACGATGTCACTGGAGACTGGCTGCAAAGAGAAATCTTTTAAACCCATGCTTCCTATTTCAAACAGACCTAAAGCGCCGAATACAAACAGGCGTGTAGGCATCTAGTTGTCACAGTCCAGTCAGCGCAGCCCAATCATATCCCCTTCCTCTGCTGCCTCGTCCTATCTCGCTCCGTCTGTCTTAGAGGTGAAGTCAAAACTGGCAGCCTCTCGCCTTATCAGCCTTTTTCCCATCACACACTTATCAAAGCTCCCTTCTTCTCCTGCTGCCACTGTTTACATTGCTCTTGTCACAGCAAGTAAACACTGGCAGTTATCTCTCTGATGGTAACATCTTAGATAAGCAGCATCTGCTCCGTTGCACATCTGGTATATGTCGCAGCAAAGTGCATGTTCTGCGAGTGGGAAATGAGAGTCAACAAAAGGTGCAGTTGGTGCCGAATGAACTGCGCAGATTTGAAACAAGAGCAGTTCAGATGATTCACCGACTGCTTTCCTGCAAATCTGTGTGATTCAGTTCCAATCTGACTTAGAAATCATTCATCAGAATTGTAAATCAGCAGTTGCAGTTTTTCCTGATGTAGCATAGCCCTAATATACATCAAAATAGCAAAAGAAATCCATTCTGTATCACTTACACATTGCTATGATATAACATGACAGAGTGAAAGGATGCTGCATGGTTGTCTGTCCGTTCCTTTTCGCATGCGTTCGTCTGTTTGGGTATTTATGTGTGTGCATCACGTTGCCCGGTAGAGGAGGCTGTGCATTCTTCACACATCCTTCTAGCTGCCACCAGATTAAACGTGACCCTCAGTAGTAGTTGTGTGACCGGACACTGCAGCCGTCCCTTCTCCCCCCCTCTCTCTCTCCAGGGACATGCTACATGTCAGTCCCCAGCCTCCCTCCGTCCCTCTGGGAGAGATCCATTCATGCCCAGAGGGATGCTGACTGCAGGCCAATGGAGAGGTGAGCAGTAAGCACCATAAACACTGGAGCTTTGCACTCCATAAACACATCCAGGGGCCTCGGCAGTGTGCTGACTGTGTGTACTATCTAGTTCAAGTGATGTCACAGGGGGCAGTGGATTTAAGCAGGTTTTAGTTCGATGCTAATCCCCTTGTGGCAAACGCAGTGGACGAGAGGACAGTCCCTGCCAATGGCGTGCATCAACCCCCATTGGATTAGCGCGTCTCGTCCCCTCCTCCATTCTGTTGCCATTGTCCAACATGTGCGTTTACCCCAATTTCTTACCACTAGTGTTAGTTTCCAGTGTAACCGTCGTGCCCAGCACAAGCATGAGCCCTGAAAGGAGAAGAGCTTCGCCCTGAAGGTGTGTTGCTTTTCTGTCTGCATGTGTGTGTGTTCTCTTTCTATGTGTTTTTCATGTTGTGCCTCTCTCCTCATGGTTTTCTAATGTTTCCAGGACTGAATTATTTAGATAGGCTGCCAGCAGGGAGCTACATGATAGTGCAGACTTAAGAGTGAGGGGAGGGGGGGGCCTGCAGCTGCAGATCAGGTAAAAGGGTACCTCCTGCTTCACCTTTCTTCTCTCCTCTCTGTGCCTCCCTTTTGATTGGGGGTGAGTGTAACTGGAGAGTTGAAACACAATACCGAGCTCTATTTTCCGCTTTTATAGCCGTCCTCCTGATTGTCTTCACTGATGCCTAACTCAAGCGAGCAGTCGCATTTTGGTGCCTCTCTGGACCAGCGTGGTCCTGGATGGAGCGAAGGCCAGACCGTCAGGGCCGCGAGTCCCTGTCACTACTGTGGTACCGTCGCCGGGCGCAGGAATTCTTTGCCGCTGGGCGGGGGAGATGGTCGAGCGTGGCTTCACCATCACCTAGACCTCGGTGAGAAACGGGATCCGCTTCTCCAGCCCTCCCTGTACCGGCAGATCCAGCAGGACCGGCATGAGCAGCAAGTACTGAGGAAGAGCTCTGTGCCAGATCTGAGCAGCAGCCTCTACGTCAGACAAGTAATGGCAGGCCGGGCCTCAGCACCACCGCAGGATTACTACCTGGCTGACGCTACCTTATCTGGCCAGCCACCTGAAGAGTCTGGGTTTTACAGGGATAACCGGCAGTTGCTCAGCAGATCAGCTTCGCATTATGGGGGGGTGAGGCCTACCTGGGATCAAGGACAAGGAAGGGCCACACCTTCCGTGCTGGCCTCTGCTTCTACACCTACCCCCGCACCTCCTCCCCCTCCCCCTCCTCCCCCGCCTCCTCCGCCACCTCCTCCCCCTCCCCTCCACGAGCTGAGCCGTTTGTACCGGGAAACTCTGGGATCTAAGATGATCCCAGACGTCCAGCGTATTGGTGGCCGCTCTGCCTCTCCTGCAGTCTACGGGGTTCAGCCCCCGCTTCCTGTTTATGCCGCTGAGCCACCGTCTCTGTCCGCTTGTCCAGCTTATAACGGTATCAGCAGCTTTTCCTTGGAACCCCGCCAGCCAGCTGCCACCAGTTCAGTGGTGGACCCAGCTTCTCAGGGAATGGACGGAGCTCTCCCCCGGGCTTATGGAGCTGTAGCCTCCCAGAGGCTGCCTTATGACCCAAACTATGACCCCAGCTCAGCCATGGTGGCGGCCACAGCTGGGATGACCTCCGGCCTGCCTCCTCACCATCCCAGCGCCGCAGACCCCAAGAAGATGGTGGACCCTAACTTCTTGGCTTTCCTACGAGCTGAAGGCTTGGCTGAGAGCACAATTACTCTCCTGCTGCAACATGGCTTTGATTCCACTGCCACGCTGGGGATGATGGAGGACCACGATGTCCGGTCTGTGGCCCCGAACTTGGCCCAGGCCCGCGTTCTGTCTCGTGTGGTTCTCGGTTGCAAGACAGGTGCTCCGGCAGCACGCACCCGATCGAACAGCTTCAGCCACCGCAATGATCTCTACATGCAGCCACAGGGTTTGACTATGGACCCCAACCTGATGCAGCAGCCTCCCACCACCATCCAGACAGTGTCCCCTAGGATGGGAGAGTTTCTTGGTAGAAGACCCAGCAGCGCGCCCTCCCAACATCTCCTGGAGACCACCACCTACCCAGGAGCACGGCCCCTGGCAACTGGAGCTTTTCCAGTCAGTCCTGGAGGATATAGCAATGCTGTGACTCAGGGACGACCCTTCTCCATGTACAATGCTCACACCGGTCTCGCTATGTCTGCTCTTGGACAACAGCCTCCACCAGCTCCAGGCACCCCTGGAGCAGCGCCCAAAACCTTCTCTGGCTCCTATTCTCCCATAGAGCTAATGAAGAGAGCCCCCAACCTTCCCCCAGCGTCGCCTGTAGCGGCACCGAGCCCCCTTCACAGCCCACAACTTCTCCGGAAAGGGATCAGTGCTGCTCCCGAGAGCACCATTGTTCCCGTTACTTCTTCCACCACTCTCCAAGCGCAAAACCTTAACAACAACAAGATGGTCGGACGCCGCACTGGTCCACCTGTCATAGTCTCAACCATGACCACCACTCCCGACACAAGTAATGTCAAACCCTCACCTTTCTCGCTAACTCCTTTAAACCCTCTCACCTTTCTGCTCTGTCCTTGTTGTTGATTAATATTTCTTTTTGTAGGTCAGTAATACATTCGTTTCTCTGATTTAGTTTTGCTGTAGATTAGGTGCACGTTGAGATTTCATTTTGTATTTGATAGATAGTTTTTGGCACGCTACAAAAAAAAAAAAAAATCCATACTGACAGTGGTTTTGAATGGAGGAGTAGCATGTAAGATGCATCTGACAAGTTAAGCAGCTTTGCTCTGAGAGGTCTTTTTTTAAAATTACGCAACTATTTATACATGTATTGCACCAGAGTTGTGTCATTTGCCAGAGGGGATCCTGTCTCATCACCAACTTGAAACATTTCTTGTGAGCAGCGCTCCTGTTATTGAGGTCAACATTTTTTGGGTCTTTTTCTTCCTCTTAAGTTGTTGGTTGGTCAGAATCATTTGGAAGCAACAGTGTGCTGGTGGAGTGATGTTGCAGAGGTGCTTTGCTTTTTTTTTTTTGGTTCATGGTTTGTTCGCTGGTTGTGGTAAAATAAAAAAAAGTATTAATACACATTGGATGCAAACAATTAAAAACTGTTTTGAATACAGGATCACCAGCTGCTCTCCTAATTTATTTTTAATAGATGGAGTGACTTTACTGTAAAAAAACATAAACATGCAGCTTGTCTTTAGTGAGTAACTGTTTTCCTTGATGCAGTTACCGTCATTCTATTTTACACTGTACTCTCTCCTAATCGGGGGCTTAACTGCCTCAAATCCAATTACGCTAATTGGATGTATATTTGTGTACTATAAGAGGTGACTGTTTTTATAGACGCGATGCTCGAAATTCCGTCGCCGCTGCAGCACGGCATCTTTTTGCTAAATTGATGGATGGACTCAAGCCGTACCTGTAAATGTAAATTCCTGCTCCTCCTTCGCTCACTCGTCAACATCTTCCCAAAAACCAACACATAGGATATTAAAATCATTGCCAATAAACAGCAGTGGCTTTTATAGTGTCAAAGCCATGAAGGAAATTACTAGTAAATTGATACTTCAGTTTTGAAGGTCTTGTTATTGTGTTTTTATATATACACAACTCTACAGAGACCAATCTTGTCTCTTTTTTTTTGCATTCTACAGTTATGTTTTCTTTTTAACCACCTATCCTTGTAAATATATTCACAAAACACATAATTATGTAGATTTTTTCCTCTCTTTTTTTTTTTTTGGTGCAACTTGTTTGTTTCATACAAGGTTAATACAAGTAGTGAGGCAGCTTTTTTATGTTCAGATTACCGTGAGAGCGAATTCTCCGGCGAGGCATCATCTCAGCATATTTTTGATGCATAAAAGCTTTGATTTCTCCTCCTAACAAGTTGATATATTTCCCTGCTGATGAGAGCTGATGAGCTTAGGGAAGAATTAAATCTTTTAACCTTGTTTTCAGCCCTAACCCTGTATCTTGCCTCTCGCCTCTCTAATGGGTCTGTGGGCTGCTGCACTTGTTACGGAGTAATGACTTTTATGAAGTGGCTTCCCTCCATGTGTTGTCAAGGAAATAAGGAGCGAGGTGCGAGAGCCAGAGGAGGGAGAAGGAGTTGTGGGGGAGGCACGGGGTGGAAGGTTGCCTCTCGAGCTTCATGGAAACATGCACTTCTTATCCAAGGTCACAGTGGCTGCCCCTCCACCCCTCCGCCCCTCCACCCGTAACACTTTTAGCACAACAAACTCATTTGCATGTAGCTGACATTTGTTGCTTCAGTAACTTCATCTGATAATGGGCAGCCCTTGCTGCCGATCGGAAAGCATACTTCTTAATTGTGTGTTGCTAGGCAACCTGGGTTTCAGTGGTAATCAGAGATAGATAATCTTCACATTTAAGGAAAGGGGAAAAGTGGAGCTCTGCATGCAAGCGTTGCACATTTATTTATTTTTTTGCACTTGTTACTCTCCTCTTTTGCAGTTTGGAGCAGGAGAAAATTGAGTGAAAATAATAAGATGTTGCAGGGCACTTAATGAAAACATTTCGTTTACTCGCCTTCCTCCCCCCTCCCCCTCCTCTCTCTCTCTGCGAGCAGCGTACATCTCAAGAAATTGCTTCTCATTTTTGTGCAAAGGCTCTAGTACATCTGTGAAGAGGCTCTCCTATTACATGCATGGTGTTTTATGTTCAAACATGCATATTGATGAAAAGTTGACGCACCACTCCTTCTGCACCTACTGAATAAATTGGTGGTCCTTCCAATACAAACCCCTCCTCTTTTTTTTTTTTTTTTATCGTCTTACATCAAAGCGTGCATTTACACATAGCAGGCGACTGCAATTTTCATGATGTTGAATTCAAATTTATTCCCAAAGCAGGAGTTTTTTTGAAAACAAACATGTGAGCAGAAGTGAAAATCATCTATGTAAAAAAAGGTGCAGGTGGGAGGGCCCTGCCTCCTCGCCGCTGGGCGCTGCCTTGGTTGGCTGAAGCCGTAAGCAGTGTTAATAATGGCATTAAACGGTCGAGTCGAGCTTAGATGCAACACTTCCCTTCCACCTAAAGTAGGGAGAGCGCCTTGCAGCACTCGCATTGGCCATGGAGATGTCTGTCAGTGGCATCCCACCGAGCAGCACAGGTGGGTAACTTGAGCGTCACGTGAGGCCGAGTAGCCAGCCAGCTTAGCTTAGAGACGTGATTGGCCGGTAGCCTGCGTTGTGTGTGCGTGCTCTGTAGATTAACTAAGGTGGACGCTTGCACGTGGTTTCCTTGTGGGGATAATCCACAGAACATCTTCAGCTGTACTTTTCTGGGGCCGGAGAATTAGGAGGCGGTGTGGGTGGATGGCAGCGGTGGTGGTGGTGGTGGTGGTGTGCTTGGGGGCAGGGCTTACGGGAAGGAGTGAGAACAGAACTTGGCAACAAGCTCCTCAAAGCCATATGGGATGTGTCAGTTGACGTGTTCACCTGTATTAAGTCTGCTCTCTCTTTGACACTGCCTACATTGTATCTGCCGCTTCCTAGTCAAAACATCGCCTTTTTTTTCTCTCTCTCTCTCTCTCTTTCTCTTTTTGAGGGGAAGCCATCACTGTTGTGCTGACAGTTATGTAACCTTCCAGTGTATGGTTCCCGTGGGGGTCTGAATGGGATTTTAATTTGCCTGCCTGTGTTTGGAAGGACATTCACGAGGATGCATGCCTAATGTGCTCTCAGCTGTCCTTGGCTAAACTGCTTTGTTCAGGTGTCTGACATTGATTTCAGTGTGCACTCCTGCCTGTTTTTTTTTTTTTTTTTTTCCACCAGCTAGTCAGAAAGAAAAACATTCCCCGTGTGTCAGTGTGGCCTTTTCTGGACAAAGCAGCATGTGAGTGCGTGCGCTTCGGGGATGAGGTGTTTCTTCCCCCCGTTCTCTGCAGAACGCTTTGATTTAGGGCTAGCGTCACACGGGCATAGCTCCGGAGTGTTCTTGTGATATACGGACGTGGATGACGAACAATTGCTGCCGCCGCCGCCGCCCACTATCTGGCCACACATATAGCGCAGATGTCCCCCTCTCTCAACAGCAGGAAGTGTTCGTTTTCATGTGTGGACGGCTGGATGTGACAGAGCTGACAGCAGGACATGAGGACGAGACCTCAAGCTTCCTCTATCTGTCTCTCTCTTCCTCTGACTTGCATTATTTACATATATAGCGCGGCCAGTAATAACGTTCGCTTCACCTCAGCAACTTAAACGATGACTTCAACACTCCTTTTTTTAGCTTTTTTTTACCACCACCGCCCCTGAAAGAAAAAAAATCTTTGCAGCAGAACAATGATCCTAAACACACAAAGGCAATGATCAATACTTTTAATGGGGAATGACTCCAATATCTGACCTCATGAGTCAGCGCTTGACCTCAGCAGCCACGTGGTTCACTTGTGGAAAAATAAAACAAGCAAAGTGGCTGCAGAGTCCTCGAAAAATCAGAGGATTTTATGTACGCTGGGAAAAAAGAGAGAACCTTAAATGAACTGCTTCAATTGGCAAATTCAATTTAGAGTATTCAAATTAAGTTAACAAGTACTATCGAAGCCACTGGTTTAAGTTAGGTGCACTTTAATCACTTGATTCCTCTAAATTGCCGCAGCTTCATTTTCAGGAAAATCAACTTAAGGTTTTCAGCTTTTTCAACTCAAGTTTTACCCGAATGTAAAATGTATGACACCATGTTTGTCGTTTCGTCTTTACGCTGTCGTCTTAGAAGAAACTGGCAGTCGAGGAGCAGCAGAAAGAAATCAGGAAGTAGACGCACAATGGTAAAGTAGGGGCAAACCAACTTTTCCGACTTTGTTGCAAGTACTACGGTGGACATGTCTGGACCATCTTAGACGGCGCTACCGGATCTCTGTATGAAATTAGGCCTCGTTGATCTTCATACAGAGATCTGGTCCCGCCGTCTAAGATGGTTCAGACATGTCCACTGTCAGTTCATCAGCAAAATCAGGAACTTAGATGGAAAAAGAAAGACGGGGAGACCCAGGAGAATATGGGCTGGTGTCGGGGGAAGCAACCGTGCATCGTCTGACATAGTGTCCCATCAGATGTTAACGGGATAAGTAAGAGTTTAAAGACACACAGTGCGGTTTTAAGTTGATGTATTTAAAACAAAACTTTAACTGCAGCTCAAATGCACTTCTTACATAAGTGGTGTGACACCTCCAACGGTCCCATATCAAAGCTGGAGGAAGTCACAACACATCCTAATGCACATTAACCCTTTGCCTTCTTGTTGTTGTTGATGCTATAACGGGAAAGGCGATTTTATTTTTTTTAGTGTGTGACGGGCTAATGACTTAAGTCAGCCGTCCAGGAATAGACGCGGCATTAGAGCGGAGGGAAAGCCTGCTATCCACCTGTGTGAGCGTATTTATGAGCATGGATATGACACTGTGTGTGTGTGGATGCTACTATGCGGGCGTCACGTGTCAGTGGGAGTCGGTGTCATCCTCACTAATCCCGCTGA